GTGAGGGGCTGACAGTTAAGGCTTTGTCAAAGGGATTTGAATGTTCTTGTGAAATTTAAAAGTGGAAAATTTTTTAAAAATTCACTTTAACATGCTGATAAATTGGTGTAGTTGAAGACAAGATATGCTGTAAGTGACTGCTGAAAGCAAGAGATGAAAAAGTGAAGGACAGAAACGTAGAAGTATGTGAAGAAGAATGTGTCATTCACTTTGTTATTTTTTAATGCTAGTCACAATAAGTTAGTCCTTAGGTATTTTTTTTTCCTCTGAATTCAGACTTGTCTCTTCCATCTCATGACTTGGAGCTTCTTTCTCAGATTCTTCTTCCAGACTGGGAACTGCAAATGGGGAACTGAAAATTAAGTTCTGGGTACAGGACAAGTGGCATAGTTTAGTTTCTTACTGCCAGAAAACAATCTTAGTTTCTCTTGTTGTTATTAGTTGAGAAACCTGGCCAGCCCTGGAAAGCAGGTGCTTTAGGTGTGATCTACTTTGTGATCCTGCTATAGTGGGGAGGTTGGACTAGATCTTCACAGGTCCTTTCCAACCCTGGCCATTCTGTGATTAGCATTCTTTCTCACATTCTCTTTGTAAAAACAAAGCCACTAAACTTAATGATCAAGAAGGAAGCAGGGAGGAAACTATCTTTTCATTTTGTTACTCTACCTAAATTTTCTTTGCCATTTTCAGAATCTGATTTGCAGGGAATTTCTAGGAGTTAATGAGGTATTTGGATTCAGTTATCTAGTTTTGGATTATTCAAGAGTATTACTGCTTAACTCAGAACACGAGACCATACTTGTATGACTAGTAGGATATTCTGCTTCTGTCTGATTATTTTAGGATACCCACTAGGCTACTAAGAAGCTCTGTGAAGTCTCCTAGTAAAGAGCTGTTCCCTAAAACATCTCTGAGAGAATAATGTATGTAATACACAGGAGATGCTACAAATGACACACAATTTTGTTTCTGCAGCAAGCTAAACCAGCTTCTCTAGGGTAGTTGATTTTGTTTCCACAATTACTGCAAATATTAATTGGAATAATTTGGGTTTTGTTGTTGCTTCATTATAGCCTTCTATGAAAAACAGCTGATACAATTTTATATAGAATAGTTAAAAATATTTCTTTTACAAAGGAGATTACTCTTTGTCTATCAAAACTGCTATTCTGGGTTTCTTGTACTAACCACACTTTCTCTGGAAATTTTTTCACAAATAGGATGAATAGTAAGCTAATTGTTTTAAGAAGGAATTATGCATCTTTCCGCTTGGCGGAAACAACATTTCCAAATGAAATAAAGTAGGAATAAATAATTTAATACATAGTTTTTCTGTTCTGAGTGACTTCTTTAAAAACCCTCTAAGCTAGAATACATTTAAGAAAATACGTATCATCCAAAGTAACAGCTTGTTTTCAGAAACCTGTATTAAAAACTGTAATTAAGACTCAGAAGTGTATATATAAAAATAAAATTTAAGTGCTTGATAGTAGCACGAGTTTATGTACGTTACTATAATTTCAGACAATTAAAGATATGAGCACACAAAGAAATTAATGCCTAAGACATGAATAGCAAGTTTAATAGTATAAAAATACAAGATGCAGCTACCTGATGATAATGATACATAGTATTAATTAAGAGGAACCTAATGACGTAATTAATTACTTCATTAAGAAGCTTCCCTTTCTGGGTTGCAGGGTATTTTTTTTCCTGGTTTTTTTCCTCCTTTCCCCCCCCCCAAATTTAAGGCTAAAATATGACCAGCATTTTCCAAGCTCATCCTGTATTTAGTTTGCTCATGGACTTTTTCTTCTAGATCACTAGATGTAACCAGGCCTACAAAAGAGGTCACTGATGGATATGCAAGTGTAAACCATTCTTGGAAGTATTTGACGTGTACATGTCCTGCATGTATATTCTGAATAAAACCTCAAGTCCGGTACACAATTAGTAGGACTCTTCCTACTTACTCTGTTTTGAGCACTGCACCTTTGTTTGACAAATCAAGGCCAGGCATGTCCTGTCCCTAAATTAGTGTCATTATAGATGAGCTTTTGTATCTCTCTTTCAAAACACTGTAAAAGCTACTGAAATAAACATTATTTTTGTTCATTATTCTATTAACACACAAAAGCTTTTTAAAGAAGATGGGTTTTGTTAATCCAGAGTATCTCAAATAGCCATAAGCAAGAAGTCTTAATAATGAGGAATGGATCCTTTTATTTGAAAATTTTGTAGTTATTTCAGGTTTCTAAAAAGTTGTTTTCATCCTTTGTATTGCAGGTACTGTTTTTCCACAGAAAGCAGTCTTAGAGTAAGTTTTGGACAGGCCTCAAATAGTTGAGCTTTTGCTAAAACACAGAAAATGGAATTATCCATTATTATTCCCCAAGCATAGAAGTTTCTCAGATTTCAACTGAAATGTTTTTTTAAAAATCAGTTTAACTAGGCACTTGGGCAGCACCTTGCGTGGACATACTTTGAAGTGATTTATGCCCATCTTCAACTGATTAGGCTAAATTGATATTCTCTTCTTGTAATTTAGTTGAAATGTACTCACGTATTAGTTTGCACCACTTGCTATAAATAATTAAACTCTTTAAGCGCAGTATAATTTCCTTGAATTCAAATTTAAGGATTGATTTAAATAATTCCAAAATTTTCCCTATAGAGACAGAAATGAGACAGATGTGTTCACAGTGGTAAACTTTGTCTGCTAATCTTGGATTGACAGTGTATTGTTTTGGAGAAATGAGCATCTGAGTGCCCTCACTGTATAAAGTAAAAAGTTTAATTTCGTACTCCTTTATATGTAGCCTTATGAAAATGTTGGGATTTTTTCCTGTAGATAGCTATGCTTTGATTGGTAAATATTTAAAATACTTCATGAATTTGCCTTTATGCAGCACAGAACTTAATTTTCTGTTCTTTTTGTGCTGTAAAATAATTGTCAGGTTCAAGAGTTACTGAATTCAGAGGGAATAGCAGCTCCTGGTATTTGTCTAGAAGTTTTTTTCCTGGCAAGTCATATTCAGGTAGAAATGGAAGAGATTTTTAACACTGACTTAAAGCGTTCTGGGGAAGTATGTAACAATTTTTTTCTACATTGGTTTGTTTGGGTTTTTTATTTTTGTGATTGGAGTGGGAGGGGGCCAATGCTTCTAGGCATTTCAAAACGCAGCTGTTACAAAAGCAATTTTTTCAGAAGACTTTGATTTTTAGAAGTTTTATGTACTGCTGACTCAAATACCTTTCAAAGGTAAAGTACATGTGTCTTCTGCACAATACACAATGGGGTACACTTTTTATAGGTGCGAGGGCTTGGCAGGGGTGCAGAGTTGTTTTTATACATTTTTTTTTAATTACATATTTAAGCACATGTGTTTATAGCTTACTTAAACCAAGTTTTAAGTCAGTATCTCATTGTATAATTAAAATAATCAGTCAAATCTGCAGCAGTATTTGAAGTAGAGAAGAGGATTGTATTGTTTCGGTTTTGCTGTTGTGATCACTATTGAAAGCTGACTTGGCAGAAAGCAGTCCCTTTTTTCTGGATAAAAGGGAAACAGGCTATGAGATAAGTTATTGATGAAATTAACTGCTGAAGTGGAGAGGAAATGCAGCTGGCCAATACATGTCATAGTGTGAGCTCTATTAAATGAATATATGTGCAGTCAACCATTCACAGGAGCCACACTGGTCTTGAACTACATTGATCTATAGTATAATTCTAAATGAAATTGATGGAAGAGAGCAACCATTGACAGGAAGGGTAAAGAGAACCATGAAATGTCTTGTACAGGAAAAGTATGATGGAAAGTAGGCTCATCTCTGCCCAGGATAGAAAGTGAGGTGAAACTATGGTATTTCTAGCTGTTCCTAGGTACCTCACCCATGATTGTAATAATGCATTGCATGTCACTGGACTCTTCAAAAAGTGATTTATAGTCTTTTATTTTTAGAAGAAAATCCATAAAGAATCCTGTCAAGAATTTAAGATCAGCTTTTCAAGAGATTCAGATACAGCTTTGCATTTTGCAGCTCTGTGCGTTGGGTGAAATTTAGTTTGATGAGCTGTTCTGAGAGCTGTTTACATTAATATTTACGTATTTGTTTACTCACTACGCTCTTAATGTAAATATAGCTATTATGTGGAAGTTTGTAAGCTACTTTCAAGACTGTTGTGCAAAAATGCTACCTCCTACTCAGATATAATTTCAGGTGGCTTTTGTCTCAGGCATGTCCTTTCAGACCATTAGCTCATTGAACTGCTTAATTTACAGGCCTTGATGAATAAAACATTGGGTTCTCGTAGATTTTACTTACATCGGGATCCATGTGTCCTATAAAATAATCTGTTTATTTTGTCTTCAGTGGTAGGTGCCCTTTTTTCATATGTTGCCTATTAGAGTCAAAGCTAATAGCACATTGTATTTTTGTCTGTGCAAGAAGACTCAGAAGATAAACTTCTTTGCCAGTGTTCCCTTCAGTTTAATAGCTACCATATCACTTCTAGTGATGTAACTACTTTGTTAGTTCTTATTGGATTGGTTGAAATGTAGAAGGAAATATGGGTATATATTAATATATGTCTATACACATTGTTTAAAATTTACAAATAATTAGGAAAATATTTTTGTTTTACTGCCATAACACACAGTAACAATAGTGTACATAGATGTTAGGCTGCAGCATAATGGAAGTTGTAATTGTTACTTCAGAAATATTTTAGGTTTATTTAGTATAGCAATTGTGAAGAGAATTGCTGAAATTACCACCTTTTAAAAGGTTCATTTTATCAGAAAAAGTGTGCTATTGTGTGGTATCTGGAGCATTTCAGTAAGAAGGTACAAAGACATTTGAAAATATTAGTTATTTTATATGTAGCACATTTATTTAGAAATTGTTGTAAATGGCTTTATTTTCACTGTTCTGAATTTTTTAACACAAACTGAATTTTTGAGATGAAAAATAGTATGTCCTTTTATAACTTCAAGGTTCATGTTTCATTCGAACTGACCAGCTCGATGGAGAAACAGACTGGAAACTGAAGGTTGCCGTCAGTTGCACACAAAGATTGCCAGCTTTGGGGGTAAGCATTTTATCTGTTTTCTTTTAAGGTACCTTCCATGGATGCATATCTATCTCTTGTTACAATTATTGCAAGTAGTGAGAAATACGTTACCAAAGTCCTACTTCTTGCAAAAAATACAAGATAGATATTCCAGGGAATGAGAAGTTGGTTATGCAAATGTTGGGGTTTTTACATCTACAAGAAACTGAGACAGAATTGGATTTTTATAGTTGTTCTCATTCTGGTCCTCACCAAGATCCATACTCCACAGAAGCATATCACAACTGTAGTATTTTCAACCAAGTGTTACACTACAAGTGCAAGTCATCCTTGCATCAGGAGCTGTTGCTTTAATCACTAATTTGAAAGGCTGGGAAATAAAAGTCTTGGAAGGTGAAGTGCTTTCTGTTATCATGGTGCTTTTTGGTCTTTGTGGTGCAATGTACAAGTTCTTACAAGGAGTGCTCTCATAAGTGTTGCTTGAATGTGTGTATTTTTGGAGGGCATATGTGTGTTGTGTCATGGGTAACTTAAAATCATGGAAAGGGACACATGTGTATGTATTTATACATTTAAAATAGATGGGTATCTACAAAAATATGTAGAATATGTAGAATTCTTAAAGAGAAGCTGAATTGTGTTCCTGGTACTGTGGAAGCTTGCTATGATACAGGAGAGTTGGCTTGGTATTAACAGACTTCCTCTGAAAATATGCTCAAGTTACAAGCTTGTGGAAATCTTCCTGTACAGAATTTCTGGTGTTTCAGCAGTAAATCCTCTAGGTGTTTTACTAAAAGCAAATGTACCTAAAGAGAACTGTTTATATGTCTTCTCGACAGAGATTGCCTGCCAGATCTTAGCAGGACTTCTGCAGTTACTCTTCCAGATTTACAGAGTTGCTGCCATAGTGAAATTGGCAAAAGGGAGAGGTTTTTTTTTTCTTGTATTCATAGTATTTTGGCTACTGGTTTCACATATGATGGGAGGAGGAGGAAAAAAGAGCTAGGTTTCAATGTAGAGGATTAGGAAGGAACTGAAGGATGGTCATGCCAGACAGAGATGCCAGGTCAGGCAGGTCAGACAGGATGCTGCAAGAAGAAACTTCAACAAGTTTCTGTAACCTGCAGTTGAATTTAGTATTTGTAATAATATCTCTCTTGTACGTTTTTACAATTTAGTCATGGGCTTGTCTTGTTTTCTCATTAAGAAAAAATAACGCCCACATTTGAAATGGATGCATGCATTTGACTAACATCCAGTCAGTTTTCAATCTTGCTACGTTTGTTGGTTTGGTTTGTTGGCTTTTTTGTTGTAGTTTTTGTTTATTTTGTTGGTTTTTGTTTGTTTTTTTTTATTAAACAGTTATTTCAGATGGTTACAACTGTGTCCAACTTAGCTATTATATTTTGTTTCTCTTTTGTTTTGGACGCATCACTGCACTCAGCAAACAACTTGTGCAGAGCAGTGCCTCTTTGAGTTCTCTTTGCTGGTTGTAATTTCAGTGTTCTGAGCCTGGAAACTTCAGTGTTCTGAGGTTTGGTTTATTGAGACTCATGGCAGTTAATCAAGGAGCTATGTACACTCAACAGGTCTTCCCTGGCCACCAGCAGCAAATGGAAGCCACCAAGCAGTTGATGTACCTGCGCTTTCTCTCATCACTGAGTTACTGGTGGTTCACCACTGTAGCCCAGACTTTGCATTAAGCTGACATGTCATTCTGAAGTAACTGAAACTTGGTATAATATTTCCTGCCAACTACACAAAACTATCTCCCAATTTCCATACTGTGTGGTTGGTCAAACCATTGACACTTGGTTGTTCTTCAGTGAAGTTGTTTTAAATGGCTGCTTTCTGGCTGTCCTTAAAATGTTTGCAGTGGTCATGTCATACATCTGTTTTACTCTTAAGCCCCATCTGCCTATGAATTATTTTGGGGAACTGGTAGCCTAATCCACCCAAATGTAAATGTTTTTAGGGGATCCCCACGTCCTTCACAGAAGTTAATGCAAGTTTACATTGCAGAAGCTTGTTTCCATTCCTCTGGAAAGCACATTAGTGTTTCTTTAATTCCTGTAAAGACACTTCTACCTTTAGTGGGATGGCAATCGTGCAAGGGTATCAGCCATCTAAAGGAGCTCTGTGAATGGACAACTTGAGAAGATTAGCAAGAAGGTGTAAGCAAGCCATGAATTGCAGACTAACCAAAGGTAGCATTATAGATTTTTTTTCTTCTAAGCCTAATTTTGTAGTTCCTAGTAGAGTAATAAGCTGCATCTCTATATTTGATTTCCTTTCCTCTATAACATGTTGGAGGAATCATAAAATTGTAATAATAGACTCATAGAACTCTTTGGGCTTGTAAGGGACCTTAAAGATAATCTAGATTCATGGGTGGGGATACCTCCCACTGGATAGGTTGCTTAGAGCCCCTTCCAACCTACCCTTGAATACTTCCATGAAGAAGGAATCCACAACTTCCCTGGGCAACCAGTGCCAGTGTCTCACCCCTCCCACAGGTAAGAATTTTTTCCTAATGTCCAACCTAAATATACCCCTTCCAGTTTAAATTAATTACCCCTTGTCCTGTCACTACAAGCCCTTGTAAATAGTCCCTCCCCAACTTCCCTGTAGCCCCTTCAGGTACTGCAAAGCTGCTTTAAGGTTTCCCCAAAGCCTTCTTTTCTCCAGGCTGAGCCCTCCTGCCAGAAGGAACTGCTGAGCTCCTCTTTTCATTCTTTTTGCACTACATGATGCATAGCATAGGCAGCGCATCATATGTGCCCCCAAAATAACTGACAGGGTGAAAGAGGCACTTCAGGGAACACCTCTCTCAAAGTTTTGCTTCAGCTTCTTTAAATCAAGCTATTCATGAAAACTTTTGTTGTAAAGGGGTTTGTGTGTGTGTGTTTTATTTGTGGGGGGGTTTTTTTGTTTGTTTGTTTTGGTTTTGTTTTGGTTTTGTTTGAAAACGAACCCGCCCCAGCACCAGCCCTTGCGGGAGCGGCCGGTGCGGGCGCTGTGCGGGGCTTTGGCGGGACGGCACGGTGAAGAAAAGGGGTAGAGCGCGGGACATTCGAGGCCTGCAAAGAGTTTGGTGGAGTGGAAGTGCTGTTAGTCATGTCTGTTGCAGAGGCAGGAAGCTGATGTTTTATTCAGTGCGACTTTTGAACCGGATTAAAGGCTCCTGTTCGTGGGGGTGGCTACAAAAGTGGATTGGGTTTCTAAGGTTTACTCGGTATATGTTTGTGATAAAGCAGTCGGGTAGGGGTGCAAGGTGACATCTCTGAGGCCTGGCGTTTTGCCCTTGCTGTCTCTGGACTGATGTTCTGGGTTTTTGCTGTAGTGGATCAAATAGTTTCAGCTCACTTTCTGTCTTAAGTAGCACTTCATTACATTAGCGTTTTTCCTGGAATAATGGGACTCCCTGCTTGTAAAGCAACACCTGTTTCAGTGTCTTCTGCGTGTGCTTGAAGGGCGTTTTGAAGGCTTGTGCTTACAGTTCATACTTAAATGTTTAAAAAAAAAAAGTGTGTGCAAGCTGAACAGAAAATAGCCTATAAGCAATTTGGTCACGTTTTTGACAATATGCTCTCCATAGTTGTAGCTCGTTTTGATTTCTTTAGTTATCTGATATAAAGGCAGTGAGTATTTTGTGTTGGCATAAGTTGTCAGTTGCGTCAACAGAGCAGCTCTGTAACCTTACCCACTGTGACACACAGAATAAACAAACCTGCAGACCTGCAGAGCTTTCCTTAAAGAACAAATGACACCACCAAGGTGACCAGTACAGATTTTGTTGTCTTTCTAAAGCACTTAATGTGATCAGAGAATTAAAATTTCAACAAGTCATTTAATGATGGCTGAGCAGCAAATATTGTAACACCCAGGTTAGGTTTCTTGCAGTTTCATGGTTATAGGTGAAGGGAGTTGTTCTGGTGATATGCACACTCTAAGGCATTCTTCTCTAGCTTGCGTGATCAACTAAATTTATTAACAGCAATGAGGTCACTGTAATTTTCAATAAATGGTGACTTGCTGATTTATATCAGAAGATCCATACAGCAGTAAACAATACCATTTACATTTAATTAGTTTTATTGAACGAAAGGCAATTTTATTTGTAGTGAACTACATGTTATGATTAAGAATGTATTTTAATGATCTTTAAGTAGGGTGAACAATGTTGCCCTTGACCTAATAGAGGAGATTTTTCTCTGTTATTGATAACTTTACAGTGGTTTTTAAAACTGTGAAAGGCAAAAGAGAAGACTTTTGCTGCTGTACTGTCATAAAGTAATTTCCTGACTTTCAGTCTAGAAGGATGAAATGCATTCTTCTGAATTATTATTTTCAAATACAAGATAAAAAATTATATGCATTTGTTTTTAAATTTCTGTTATTGTATAAAAATATTTTTTATTGCTTCAGAGTCAAGTCTTTCATATAGTTGTTTTAGTCTAGAACTATTACAATCCGCTTATCCAAGTGGGGTTTTTTCCTTTAATAAGAAAATAACTGAGGTCATTTGCCCTCACTGTCTGCTAAAAGCAGTGTAATTTTAGATGCAGAATACTGTTTCCATTGAACATACCAGTAGAACTATTTAGCTTCAATGAATGAACAGTTCAGTGCTTATAGTGTGAAAATAAATCTTTACTGAAGCTGAATTTCACAAAGACCAGGTCTTTCATTAGTTAAATTGTTAATAAAAAGTAGTTGTCTGTCTTTTTAAAAATAGAACTAAATCCTTTGTTTTAAGTTCATTCTCGGTTTCCCTACTTTTATATAGGGGGAAGCAATGACATATCCTAACCAGGTAAATTTTTCTTGCTCAGTGAGCAGAAGTTATATTTTTATGTAGTATTGTGTACAGAACTTGATGTATCCATATTAAATTCACTGTCCTTACCTTTTTTCAAGACATTGAACTGAGGTATATACAGCTTCTACTACTGGGAAGGCAGCACTAGGTGAAGGAACATCTTTGTACTCTTGCAGTAACCTTTATTGTTGAATGCAGTCCATGTGTAATGACTTCTATAACAGTATCTTACTTTGGATTTCTCTTTCTTTCTCTTGTATTATAAAACTTAACTACTATATTTTATTGACCTGAGAATGATACTCATTTGGAGCACAGAGCATTGGGTTACAGAAAAAAGTTCTTACCCCCTTGTTTGTTTTTTACCCTAATAATGAAAAAATATTTCAGAAAGCTATTGAGCATGTGTAATATGCTTGTATGTCTTTTCTTTCTACTCCTCATGAATGAAATGCTAATGAACTACTACCCTGGATTTTTCTCAGAGCACAGTTTTTTCTTATGGTTTTTAGTTCTGGAAAAAACAACAGCAAACCACCCTTGCACTTTTGGACTCCTCTACTCCTTCTAGTTTGTGGCTTTCCAGAGTAGTGCCACAAATGTGTAAGGAAGGTGCAGATCTCAGTTTTTTCGGAAAGATAAGTGAGTTTATTTAAGAGTTGAAATAAAAAGAAAAAAAAGGCAAATGAGAAAGTTGGTGTTAAATTAGAAATACAAAAGGACAACTAAAACATAAAAAGAAAAGACACCAAGGTACATAGAAATTTTACATGTAAAATGTAACAAAACATCACAGTAGAAGAAAAACAGATTAGAAATTAAGGAGATACATTACTGTACAAATGTCAGCTTACTTATAAAATTGGATCTTTCTACTTTCTTTTATTCAAATGTTGCTTCCTACTAAGGCATTCTTTGAAAAGAGAGAAGTTCTTGGTTGACGCATTTCATTAGCAGTTTTTATTGTGTATATGAGTATGTGTGTGGTATTAGTTTTCTGTTGTGCTATCCACCACTGAGAGACTCTTTATTTTTCTTTGCATAATAAAACACATAATAGCCTGGATTAGCTAAATTGTAGGTGATAACAGATTGGAAAGAAGTGAATGATGAAGATATAGGACACCACATGTGTATTAGTTTCATATGAATTGTTTCTCATGAACCTGATGAAAGTAGGTTGGAAGAACAAAGATGAAATGAATTAACTTCATGTGAAAGACTGCAATAAATGGCTAACAGTTTAAGATAAAGATAATTTGTGAGAGTTAATGTTCAAATTCAAGTCGTGTTTTAAAAAGTATATGAAATACAAAGTCCGTGTGTTTTTGCAAGATATGAAGGGAGAGATTTCTTCTGTGCAGAACATAAATAGAAATACAAATTTCTTATTTATAGAGCTACACATTTTTAAACTAAAGTAAAACAAAATATTTTTTAAAACCCATGAATTTTGTTCTGGAAAAGTGAAAAATAATTATATAAAAATCTATAACCATTTTATCAGAGAAGCAAAAGTATACAGATACACTAGATTTTAAGACATTAACACAGATGGACAATTAACCTTTAGTTAACTTTTTAATATTCAAATTATGTAATATTCAAATGTGATTCTTTTTTCTTGCAGTTAAAATTATGAACAAAAAATATCATGCTTAGCTATGTTTGAGCCAAGATGTGGTTATATGTCCATGAAAGAGACTGTAAAAGTAATTCTGCTTTTGAAGATAGTTCGTTCTAGCTATCATGGACAGGAGGTTGTAGCTATGTAGTCTTCTCCCCAGAGGTGGTGTCTGATTAACCTTCTGCAAGACTCATCCAGTAATACAGGATGGAGATAACCCAAATACCTAGGCACTACATCCAGTGAGAAGGTTGATGTTCTTGCAATTCATCAGAGATTATGATTCTTAGATCAACTGGGATTTGGTATGAAGCAATCTGACAAAGTAGAAATTGGATTGTGGGTCCATGCATGAGAGCAGTCTACTTGGGTTGGAATCTCTTAGCTGCTGTTGTTCCTGACTATCTAAAAGTCACCAAAACATTTGCTTTTGTGATGAGAAGAAATTCCTTTGGATCAGATTTTCAACAATTCCTCTGTGGTATTCTTTCTGAGGGAGGTGGATATTTCAGAAAAATTACCTGATTAAGTAATTGTTTCAGTTATTCCATGCTGGACGTCTAGGGACATCTCTTAAGTTCTAACATTCTTCAGATTTTTTTAAGGTTATTTTTAATTCCCCTTTTTATACCATACCACAATCTTTTTCATAGAGCCTGCTACTACAGTATCTAAGCATCTCTTATTCTTAATTTTAGGGTAGGAATATTTATGCTCTGGCTGTGATGAGTACAAGTATCCATGCATGTTAGACACAATTTTATCAGACTAGATTAGAGTACCCCTGACTTCAAGCATGTGAGTAATTCTGTTGATGTACCCAGGTTTTCTTGAAGCTGATGAGATTTTCTCAGGGGTTGACTGGAGGTGTGGTTGATTATTTAAGAGAACTTGCATTGTTTCCTCCTGTATTCAGTTGGCTTTTTCCTTGCTGGGAAAGTATTTTGTTTCATTTTGCATTAAAAAAAAACCAAACCACTTTATTTTTAAAAGATACTACATGGAAAATACATGAAAAGTATTTTAAGATTATAGTGCTATAGATTAAAATGGGGCTGATAAGAGAAAATAAATTAGATAAAATTTGTAACTAATGTTATAAATGTAAAACAATTTGCTCTTTGAACTATCGACACATTCAGACTATCATCCTGGATCTGGTTCCTTTATACCAAGATGTACTGAAAAAACAGCATGTTTCTTAGTTGGATAAAAATGTTATGAAATTACCTTGGGGTCAATTGCTGGGGGTCATAAACTGACATCTTTACCTCTAAAAGCTTCTTCAAAATATGTTACTAAATTTAAGTTTAAAGAATAGTATGTTAATCTCTTTTACAGGATCTCTTTTCAATCAATGCATATGTTTATGCTCAGAAGCCACAGCTGGATATTCACAGTTTTGAGGGAACCTTCACACGGGTAAGTAGTGCGTGTAGATACAGTTTTGCTGCTTCTCCATTTCTCAGCCTAAGTGAAGCCTATGCTTAGTGTCCAAGTTGTATCAGATCTTCCCTTACCTTTTAACCGTATTTTTTTTTTCCATGTTCCTGATACGGCAGCACTTCATGTAAAAGATACCCTGGTAACTATATATTGCAAAAGAATATCTGAAAAATGCAAAATCTAAGAACTGGATCTTTGTTGACATCACTGTAATACGTTTACATGAAACCATTGGTATGGTGTATATATATACATGGTATATATATTGTTATATACCCCATATATATATTGTTATATACATGTTATATACAATATATTGTTGTTATATACTGTGTGTATATATATTGTTTGTCTCCAGGCACTTAATATGTTGTTCATGTATGTCAAAAAAGTGGCAGGTTCAATATTTTTCAGTAGCCTGATACAATGAAACTACTAGTTTATGTGCAGAGAAATGTCTTGTTTAATAGCATTTCTATTGAAGAGAAAGATAGTACTTCCAAAGTTCAGTTATCTCAAAAAGTAAAATAAAACTAAAGGCTACTTATGGTGGGCTTTATGAAATCTTTTATAGAGCTTTAATTATATAAACCCCAGAATATTATAATAACAATGCAATAACTTTTGTGACTTTGTTCTTTTCAAAAGGTGGCCTGCTGAAGTTAACCCCTTAAAACAGGGTGTTTGAATAGGTAATAACATATTTTTAAATCACTTTACAGGTTTCTAGCATTATAGCAGCAGATGCACTGACTGTTTTACTTTAGTCTGACTCTGTCCTTTTGATAGTTAGCTTCTAAAATAATTTGAGAATTAACTACTGTGGAAGTAGAGAGAAGGGATTTTTTACCCAAGTGACTCAAATTGGTAATAGATTTTTTTCAGTAATTGCAATTCCAGTTCACAATTCTAGGTACGCTGATGCATGAGATATTGTAGTTGTTGGCTCTCAAAGACCAATTTATACCAGTTATGTATTTCATGCTGCCTACTAAGTAAATGTCATTTGTCCACACCTTCTAGAGCTGTAAGCAACAATGTTTACTTAAACCTTGTATTGACCAATTGTCCAAATGAAACTTCAAGTAACAGCTATAAAATTCATGTTAATCCTGTCCCAATGGCTAAATGTTTACTTTTCTGAATATAAATTGAACTCCTTGGAGCCTTTTTAGCAACTCTGGTATGTGTAATTGAGACACTGGGAAATGATCACTGGACAGTTGCTCTCTGTTGTGTGTTCTGTTTGTACAAAGAATCAGAGCTGTATGATTCAAGCATCCCTGATATTTGTAAATAACTGGTGTATTTTATGCTTTACCTATGTGCTGTTTTGACTGTCTTAGTAGGAAGGACTGTTAAAACTGAACTTGTCTGTGGATGCATGATTGATGCACAATGGATCACACTGTAAATTTGAGTAGATTTTTTTCTTGTTGGTTCTAAAAGTGTTCCTTCAGCATAGTGAATGTTGTTTCAGGACACCTGTTTACTGATTTATCTTTCTGTTTCTGCTGTGAGCCCTTTCTTCTTAAACTAAATCAGTTTTTGCGTCTACGTTCTATTTTATGTGTAAGTAAAAAAAATTAGTGTGCTTAGTGATGCTAATGCATACATTTTTCCTACTTAAGCATTGATGTTCAAAGAATTCTTGCAAGGGTAGGTTGACAGGGTAATAGCACATTGATTTTTCTTCCCTTTTTTTTTTTCCCCATTATGAAGACAGAGTACTAACAATGTAGAAGACAAACTTAGATAATTTCAAAAAGTGCATGACCATAAAACAAAGCAGAAACTTAGGTACACTTCTTCGGAGTTTTTGTGAGGGAACAACCTGCATAATGACATCAGGAGGAGTTAAAGTTCTGCTGTACTCTACTAATGTCTGCCAGCTCCACATGAAGTAATTTTTTTTGTTGTTGTCCTCCATGGATTTTGTTGCGTTATGTGTAGTCAGTGCGTGAAAGTGTGTGTCCTTGTTTGGGCATGTGGGAAGGATCATGTCTGGTCCTTAAATAATGACATAAATTAATTTCTCTCTCCTCTTCTGGACATCCTACTGAGAAACGCTAGATGAGCTAAATTAGTGTTCTGTGAAAGTGTGTGAGATTTGTTTTATTTATTCTCAGAGCATCATACATGTCTTGGCTTAGCTTATTTTGAAATAATGACACAAAGAACAGGGATTTACACAGACAACTACTGGAGTGTCTTGCCTGTCTGATACTCCTATGTAGGCTTGATAAATTAGGAAGCTATTTCATCAACTCTGAAAAAGCATGTGAAAAAGTGATAATAAAAGGTACCCACACTTAACCCAACCTTACCTGTTGGAACCCAAAGAGTATTGTACTGGCATAAGCAGTATTACTAACCTTTTGCTTACAGCTTCTGTGCAGAATTGTGGAGATTCTCTCTTCTGCTTTTGGCCTTGGCTGGTTTTTGGTTTAATTTGGGTCCTTCTTCCACCATTCCCTTAAGAATATTTTCCTTTAATTTCTCTTGTATTGAAACTCTGTGCTGTCACCTCAGACTCTTAATTTAATTTTGGAATATATCTAAATTATAGTTATTTTTCTTTTGGAAATCTAAATTTTTTAATGTTTTTGTTCCACTAGAAAACTCAGAGAGCTGATTTCTTTGAATTCAGTTCATCTGCTATAACAAAACTTTTGCTTTCTACAGTCTATAAGTATTTGGTATTATTTTTTCCAATATAGCACCTTGTCAGATGTTTAAAAAAGTACCTTGATGCAAAACCTGTTGCATGTAGTTGTTGATACTTTGGAAAAATACATACCAAGATATGAACACTGAAAATTGTGTATTCATTTAGGAGTAGAATCTCTGGCCTGGGGCTAACTATAGATGTTTTAGTGGATAAGTCTTGTGTTTTAATAGAATGTTGAGTCATTTTTTTACTTCATATTTGCTCTTAGATAATTATCTGTTTTAAAACAATGGCTGTGTTCACATCAATCTGGCTTAATTTTATGTTGCCTCTGAAGGGATGTTATGACTTGCAGCTCCTTTTTACTAAACTTACTGTGCTGGCACTAACAGCCCTATGGGCAACCAGACTAGGAAGCTGACATGTACAGAGCCTAACTTGACCCTGCTCAAAATACATATGCTGGTACAAGGAACATAGCAAGAATAATTAACTGTGGCATTAGAGTGAAGAGGGAACTTTTTTCAGTGATGCAACTAAAATAATATTTATTTCTTCCACTTCCCTACAAAAGTTAGTGGGGGTTGTTTTGCTGCATCCTTTAGAGTAGAAATAGGGTTAGAAAAGGTCAAACTGAAGATTCATACAAGGCTTGGATATTTAATCTCAAAGCCCTCTATCATGATCTGAAAATACTACTAATAAATTGTACCTTTGAAGTCTACTTGAAATTTGTCATGTATTACAAATTCAGGACTGACAGAATATATTCAATTTTTATTTCACTGCTCATTTGTTCAATTTTCTCTGCACATGCAAGAGCTACATACTGATTTCCTAGAATAGGAACCGTAGACAATTTAAACCTCTATGACCAGTACTGCACATGACTTCAGAAACTGAGCCTATGAAACTTGAATGCCATACTGAACTGCACTATGCTGGTAATGAACTTGATTCAGAATTTAAAGACCAGTAAACGTGCAGCTGCCAAATGAAATTCTACCCAGCAGACCTGAAGTGGAAACTTTGTAAGCTGGACAAAGAAGCCCTTGTATGTGAAATTTCTACTACTGGAGTGAGCGGTGGATTTAATTTACCCCAAAACATACATTGTTAGCCGTAGTAGCCTCAGAAAATTTGCAGAACCATTTCTCCCTACCGTAGACCCTGTCTTGTTCAGGAAGTCCTTGTTCCTTTCCTGTTTCATCTACTCCTACCATCTCTCTAAAACTAAAAAAAAAAAAAAAAAAAAAA